CCATTCAACAAGTCTAGTTCGTCCCAGGATTTACCCTGTCTGGTTTTGTTTTTATTTTTGTTTTTGCAATCGCTGCTAAGCAGTAAAATGGGGCGGGTTGGGGGCGGGGAGAAGCAGGAAAACACAGGCAACACCACGCTTACAGCGCAGCCCAACAGCAAAGATCCCCAGCCCGGGTCAGGAGTGTTTTTCCAGCAGGAAACCAGGGCAGTTCATCCGAGTTCCTTCACCTTTTGTCCAAAGATGCAAAAATGTCAGAAATGTGCAAGGGCTTCGGTCACGGAGGGATCCTGGACCTTGGCCCCGCAGTGCACTTCCTGCACAGGCCGAGGGGTCAGGATGAAGACCACTGCCCGGAGAGTCGGGACAGCGGGTCAGCGCCTGCGGCTGGGCTGCAGCCTCGCCATAGGCTGCGAGGCGAGGCCACCCTCTCTGGGCACCTGTTTTCTTCACAAAAAACCGGGGGGCCCTAATGCCCAGTCTGTCACTCTGCAGACGTAAGCTGGAACAGATGACAGCCACAGGTCGCCCTGGGCTGTTTTTCTCTGTCCTCACTAAGGGTTAGCAACGTGAGGCTTGGGCCTCTGTCTGCGCCTCCCCCAGACTCTGCGTCACGACACGCGCTCTTGGACTGTGGGTAAATCTGTGTTCACACAGCACTGACTGCCCACTCGACACCACACCGGCTCCTGGGAGGTTATTTACAGCCATTAACGCTGATGCTGAGCAGTATCCGCAGGAGCCACGGTTTACGACGGCTCTTCTATATCCAAAGCGCTGTATGCGCTTTGCCTTGTTGAATTCTCACAACAAACCCGCACCATGTGTATCATTAGAACCCCCGTTTTCCAGAGAAGGTGCAGTTCGGAGGGAGGAACTTGCTCAGGGCCCCACAGTTAGGTTGCACTCCCTTCAAACTCTGCTTCCAAAGCAGACACCGCTGCCCAGGAGCACCCAGAGCCCCATGGGCCGCTGCAGGGAGACCCAGACCCTCCCATACATGTGGTGTTCCTCACATGAGCTTGTATTTCTAGTTCCCGGCGCGGGGTCAAACAAGTCCTACGTGGTACGTACACCACTGGGACCTCACAAAACCTTCCTGAGCAGTTGTTACCATTGTTATTTTCCTGTGCACACAGGTGAGGATGTCGAGGCCCAGGGGGTGACGGGGTGGTGGCCCTAACGAGCCAGGACCAAAATCTGGCCTTCCTGACTCCACATCTAAGGTTCTGCCCCGACCCTCTCAAAATGGGTCGGGATGCCGCAGGTGTTAAGTCCATGCAGAGATAGTCAAGGGTGTTGGGGGGGGGAATCCTAGGGGGCTTCCTGGAGGAGGAGGATCACAAAGCATGGACACAACCTGGGAGGCACAGATTTCCTCTCTTCAGATCACCTCAGGGCATTTGCCAGGAACCTGAGGATGAAGGGCCCCTGTCCCAACCTTCTGAAACTTATCCCCTGGCGCTTCCTTCCCCTGGGGACTTGGGAGGAATCTGTGCAGCCTGCTGCCCCGCCCCGCTGCACAGGTCCGTTTGCATGCCAGGCCAGGGCTGGCCCTTCGCCCTGTGCACCTTTCTTCGCTCCACAGGCTACAGGAAGGGAGGTCCAGTGCCAAGGCTATCACGGGGCTCGCATACCTTCGGGGAGGGCTGGGTACCCAAAGCCCCAGGTTATTCAATGCAGCATTATTTGCGATCACAAAAGACGGGAACCGATCTCACGTCCATCAACAGGAGCCTGGATGAAGAGGCCCTGGCACGGCCGTGTACGACTCAAGTGTCAGCCGAGGAAGGGTGGGTTAAGAGCGGACACTAAGCTGACATTTGGGAAGAAATTTACAGATGGGCTGGGCAGGGGATGGGACCATGATCATCACTTTAAAATGAGGAAACTGAGGCGTGGAGAGGTCAAGTCCCTGGTGCCACCAGGTCGATGGCTGACAACAGTGCAGCTGGGATTTGGGGCAGATAATGGGCCTCAGAGCCACGCTCGGGGCCACTCTGCCACACGGCCTCCCAGCCTCTCTGTCGTGCCGATCTCCCTCCACCAGGAGCACCCCAGAATCTGGGAAAGAAGAGAAACACGTGGCCAACCTCCGGCTCTCCCCGCCCTGCGTGGGGGAAGCAGGTGTCACTGGAAGAGGCCAGTCTGAAAATTATTGTGATAACTCAGACGCCGTGGTAGCCTACTTCTCTCTCCAGTCAGTTACGGCCAGCGGGGCCCACTGATTATTTTTATAGCCTTTCCTGGAGTCATGACAAGGAAAACAAAGTGATCCACAGGACCCCTTTCATCACTAACAGCCGGGATTCACGGTTGGGGGTGGAGGAAGGAAAGAAAAATCAGTGTTCTCCCCACTTCGCGCTCATCAACAGAACTCGAGGCCGGGTGGCCAACGTGCACCGGTGTCGAGAAAAGCTGTTCGCAAGCAGAACTAATTGGCAACAGAAATGGAATTCCCCCCTGCCCCCGCCAAAAAAAAAAAGAGGCATGAACGTGATTTATCCCTGGGAATTACCCTTCAGAATAGGTATTCCAGATGGGTGGTGTGCAGCTACCCGTGTGAGCTGACAGCCTCACCCAGACAAGGCCGAAGGGGGCCTCCGAGGTCACCATTCAACCAGGTCGGCCTCCTTTGCACTAAGACGGTCACGAAGGTCGAGGAGGCAGACCAGCCCAGCCTGGAGTGGGCAGGGCTATCCTGTCACCTGGCATCACTTCCCTCGTCCAGGAGCAGCGGTTGGCTCTGGGGCCCGCAGACAGCAGTTGGGGTGGAATTGACTGCCCCTTCCTGCCCCCCAGCTCCCGTGACAGCCACAGCAGGCTTAAGAGCGTCCTTCAGGGCTATTTCAGGAGCTGGCACAGAAACCCACCCCCAGAAACCACGAGCACGAGAGGAAAACACTGAATGAGGCTTCTGGACGGAAGAGAGAGCTCTGGCATTTCAGAGGTGCAGAGAGGGGGCGCGCACAAAACTCAAGACAGCAGCGCCCCCGGGAGAGGGAGCACAGGAGTGGGCACAAATAATGGTCGGAGCGCTAGTTCTCGGTGGGCGGCGGGTACACAGGTGTTTTTTATTTCATAAGTGACGTAGCGAGACTTGGATGGGAGGAGAAGGGGCCATTCAGGCACCTCCTCAGGGTCTGATGACAAGGTGATGGTGAATTCAGTCTACCTGGGGTCCACTTGTGCAGATCTTGAGGAAGGCTCTCTGGAACTCGAGTGGGGACCAGGGATCTATGGGGACCCCCTCCCTGGGTAAGTGAGAAAAGACCTCAGGCCGTGCCCTCTGTGGTTACTCGGGAACAAGCCTATTGGGCCCCTGGGCAGTGGGGGTGTCCATGCTGTGTTCGGGGGGAACTGTTGTGCCCCCTCTCCAGGCTTCCGCCCCACGGGGTCTTTCTCCCCCCTTCGTGGGTGAGTCGGGAAGGCAGTGCTGGGCATGGTCCTCTGAGCAGGGCCCACCTGGGACAGAGGCCACGTGAAGGGACCTGGAACCTGGGCCCAGGTTGGTCTGACAGGTGCACCTGAAGATGCACAGTGTGGCCGACTCTCACCGATATGCAAATGAGAGGCCGCCGGGGAGTCAGCACAGGCGGCTAAAACGGGCACCCGCCGATGGACCAGGGTGTCAGCCCGAGGTGCCTGGTGGCTCACGCAGGGTTCTCCCAAAAAGGCTGGCTGTCTTGTCGCCCTTGGCGACATAGCAAAGCAATTACTTCCACAAGTATGTGCTGAGTGCCTACTCTGGGCGATAAGCATTTATTGAGTGACTACTATGGATTTCAGCACTGAATAAAACAGATAGGGAAAAGAAAGTCCCTGCCCTCAGGAAACTCACATTTTAGGGGACATTTAAGGAAAGGAAAATATATAGTTTGTTGAATGATAAATGGTAAGTGGTGGGGAGTGAGTCACGTGGAGATCTAGACAGTGAGTGGTCCAGGCAGAGGGGAGGGCGAGTGCAAAGGTCCCGAGGCAGGATTGTACCTGGCACAACTGAGGACAGCAAGTACAGGGCAGGTGGAGAACGAGGGAGATGAGGTCCAGGTCCTGCAGGACCTTGTGGCCACAGTAAGGACTTTGTCCTTGACTCTGGGTGAGGTGGGAGCCAGGACTGGCGAGCAAAGGAGGGACAGGGCCCAGTTTCCTTTTAACTGGACATGACCAGCTGCAAGGGGACAGCAGACTGTCAGAGAGGCAAGACGAGAAGCAGAGACCTCAATGGAGAGGCAACGACAATGGTCCAGAGAAAGCTGCCGGCCACTTGGACCAGGCTGGTGCCTGGAAGGTGACGGCAAGCGGTCAGCCTCCGGTTACGAGTTGAAGGGACAGCCGATCCAATTTCTTTTCCCTGAACAGTGGAAGCAGCTGGGTTCCACGCCTGTGTTTGGGGGTCACGAAAGTCTGAGACCTGGCTAGAAAGCAGAGACGTGGTTATCCAAAGGGACTTCTTCCTACGACTTCCTGGGACTTCTGTCAGACCAGCACCAGAAGGGACGGTTTAGGTCTTTGTGGGCCAACAGGGAAAACACCCAGGACACTTGGCTGAGTGAAAAAGGGAAGAAGCCGGCCCTGGACGGGCAATGCGATCAGTTGGAGCATCATCTCCTGCACCGCAAGGTCGCAGGTTCAATCCCCAATTTGGGCGCATATGGCAGGCAACCGATCAATGTTTCTCTCTCACATTGGCATTTCTCTCTAAATATATCTTAGGGTGAGAATTAAAGAAGAAGAAGGAGAGGAAAAGGAAGAGACAGAACAAAATGGAAAGGGATCTCATTTTTGAAAAGTATGAATACGAATGAATGAATGGTCTGGAAAAAGAGGTACACCTGGCTCTTGATTACCTGGACTGGAGATTTGAACTCAGGACGGCCCTTGCTCCCACGCAAAACAAAATGACAATAAACCCCGCTTTTAGTTCTCTTTAAAATTGCCGTGGCACAGCTCCCCTCTGCCTGCCGTCCCCACACGCTCCTCTCAGCCAGTGTCCCTACCTGGGCCTCCTCCTTGGACTGGACAGTAGGGGAGGTGGAACTTGGAAAGGAGAAGTATTTTCCTCTCGTGCTTGCTGGCTTGGGAGAGCTGGAAAGGGCCCACCTGGCTCCTAAAGTTCCTAAAAATAGAAATTTGTCTTAACTTTCCTACAGTTCTGGCTTAGTGGTTCCTTCTCCTTGTGCCAAGATGCCGTTTGCATTAGAAAAATGTCCGCCATGCGTGAAAACACGGGGTGGCAGGGGCGAGACCTGAGACGGAGTGGAATGGGCGGGCAGCTGCCACGGTCAGGCCGCCACGATGCTGCACAGGTAGACGTCCCCTCCTACCCCGCCCCCCAACCCTGGCATCTAGTCCAGTGATCCAAGCAGTGCAGGGCGGCTGGGCTGTTGGCTTGTTTTAGCTGAGAGGAGGAGGCTGAGGGAACTGTCCCAGGCTGGCGTTTCAGTCCTTCTGGGTGAGGGCTGAGGACAGTCCATGACAGGACTTCTGAGACCCTGGGCACAAGCGTCTGCAAGTGCCGTGGAGCCAGCGGTGCACTGGGAAAGGGTTAACAACCAGAAAGTGTGTGTGTATACAAATATGTGCACATATGCGTAAACATGCATGCACATACACATGTACTCAGGTGTATCAGGGATTGCATTGGTGTAAAGGACACAGTTTACAAATAAAATAAAATTTATGGTGCTCTTTTTTGTAAACTTCCTATCGTCGATTGAATCACACAGAACGTTCTCTATTTTTCCCCCCCTCAACTCTTCCACCTGTGGCCCATCTATGGTTCTGAGGGATACGCAACTGTAGTTCTTCAGGAATGATGGTTGATATTTCATTTTACTTGAAGGAGTAAGAACAACCTGATATGACAAAGAGCATGTGGCAACTTAACTTGTTTGTCAATGAAATGCGCAACTTCCTCAATTCAGGGTGCTGTTCACCATGTAGCAGCTAAACAGAGAACAGACGTTTACGTTTAATCCACATGGTTAACTTTTCCTCCCTCACGGTCTCAAATTTAGACAATGAGCGAAACAATAAGCCCTGAGTTGTACTCGTGTGCCAATTCCTAAAGTGTAAATGTTTCCAAGGTGGCCAATATTGGGCTACCAGCTGCATATCACTGAAAGTGGAATTGGGAAGAGACGCACCATAGCACACCATGACCTGGTATTTCTACCAGACAGCTACAGCAGATATCCATGCCCTTCAGAGCATCGATAATATATATGGATACGGTGACCGACCGTCCCAGTTGGCTCCGGGACTGAGGGGGCTTCTGGGACAAGTTAATCACCCTAGAGCTGGGACCACCACTCGGGTCTCGGCTTGAGTCCAAGGCAGAGCCGATCCCTGAAATGACAGGAGGTGTGAGTCGGGGCCGAGCTGCTGTGCAGTGGAATTTTCCAGGAGAGAAAACAGGAGGCCACATCTGGGTGCCGGGACCCCCAGCTCTGCCCAGATGCCAGGCACCCGAGGGACTTCCCTCCTGCCGAGGGCCTGTGGCACATTTCTTATCTCTTGGCCACTGCCGGCCACAGCTGCAGGGATGTGTGTGCAAATAGCCCGCGATGATATTCATGTGTGAATCCCCCGGGAGAGGCGTGCGGAAAACACTGAATGTGTTTCACAATTCCGTTGCGTCCAGAGGAGCGCTGGGGGCCCAGGGTGATTTGAAACACATTTTCGAAACAGCAAATAAAATTGGAACACGACCGAGTGAAGGCATGTGCCACTCTTTCTACCCCCAGCTCTCCCCACCCCCACCTACAATTAAACCTCTTCTCTCACACCCTGGGGTCTCCTACGACCGGACGCGGGCACTCCGCACCCCTGTCGGGAGCCCTTGCCCAGCCCAGGACGGCGCGCCCGCTCCCTGGGCTGATGCACAATCCAAGCAGCTGAAGGCTGCACAGCCTGTCGCTTCTTCCTCTGTCGGAGCTCTCGGCCTCCCTCCTCCAGATAAAGCTCCCTCCTCCTTCACCCCTGCCTCCTGGGACCATCGCAGGCTCCCAGAACCCAGAGCGCAGACTACTCAGGCTGGAGAGTTGAGTGAAAGTCGTCAGAAAAACGAAGGTCCGATTCTCATCTCCGCCCCCGACCAGCTGTGAGACCCCCCGGGGAAGTCACTTCACCTCTCTGAGCCTCTGTTTGCTCCCTGGACAATGAGAAGAATAAGAACCAGAAGACCTACTCCGAGGGGGCCGGTGAGGGTTCCCCAGGCTGAAGTTTCAAACTGCCTAGCTGGGCGACTGGCACACAGCAGACACACAAGAAATAGCAGTCACAGCAAGAGCCCTTAAAGATTGTCTCGTTCAACCACTTCATTTTAGAGGCAAACAGGCCCAGAGAGGGAAAAGAACTTCCCTGAGGCCACACAGCAAGGTCTCAGCTCCCACAGACGCCCCTCACTGGCTTTGGGAGCTCCAGGCTTGAGAGTGAGGACCGGCCACCCTCCTCACCCCTCGCCTCCCTCTAGCGTCCGGTGCCCGCACCAGTCCCTCTCACTCACCATCAGCAGGTCTGGACTTCTAGGACCCTGTCACGAAATCCTCCTGGAAGCAGCCTGGCTGTTCGCTGAAGCAAGTGTGGGCTTGCAGCCACCGCAGAACATGAGGAGATGAGCCAGGGCTGCGGCTTAAGCCGGTCCAGAGGGGCCACCCCAGCGGTCGCCCCCAGGAGCCCGCTGCCACCCCTGCCGTCTCTGTGGTGTCTTGGGGATGGCGCACTGGGGGCCCCGATAGTGCAGCTGGGCTCTTATCTGGCCTGGGTCAGGGTGCCGGCAGCCCGCCGTGGAGCCTGGGTTCCAGGAAGCCAGCCTGGGGCGCCCCCAGCGGGCCCCGCTTCCCCGGATGCTGCCTGCTGCTCTGGGCGCAGCCGATTGCCTGTCAGTGTCACTCTCAGCTCCGCCAGGGAGAATTCCATGCTGGCCCCCAGCAGGCGGGGCCCCCACCCCTTCACAGCCCACCCCCCACTCCCATCTTGGCAAGGGGACTGGGAAAAGGCAGCGAGTTTCAAGTCCGCACAGCGCTTGTGGTCCTGTCCCAAACGCCCCACGATTAATCATGGAGCATCTGATTTCTGCTTTGCCTCAGAGGGGGGTGTGGGGACGCCTAGAAGTTTCTGTTTACTCCGTCCTGCACCGGGCTGCGTGCTAATCACAAACAGACAGGGACGCAGCCTCCCCCACACCCGCCCTCCCCCGCCTCTCCTTCCTCTTCCTACCTTGCCACTTTCTCCTCGCCCTCCTCACGCTTTTTCCTGTCCCTTCCGCCTCCCCTCTTTGCCGTCTGCCCCCTCCTCTGACCGGATCTGATCCTCCACACACGCCTTCCTCTGGTCCTGGGTTCCCCCCAAACCCCAGCGCCCCCTCTACACCGCCCCCTTCTCCTGGGACGCGAATTGGCTTGGCCTTTTCCCTTTCCATCTTTACAGTCCGTAGTCAGCTTCTTTTCCTGCTTTCCTCCCATTTTTTACAACCTAATTATTTCAGGGCCTCCCCCCCCCCAACACACACATACCCCTGTTACATTTGCGTGTGTGAGACTCATGGAAACTTAGTGGCTCTGAGTCAAGGCTGTGAGGACCCAGGCTGCTTTTGCTTTTGTCTCCTGGGTATATCTTGCTTTTGGATTCTGCTCAGGGGTGCACCCAGGCACAAAGTCCCCATTGACGGGAGGCCCGGCCCGGAGGTGCCTCCCTGCCTGCAACACCTAGAGACAAACTTCTCCCTGCCTCGCCTGGGCTGCCTTCTCTTTGCAGTCACTGCAGACGGGAGGCCGGGGCCAGACGGCCCCAAAAAACCGAAACTGATACCTGCCCCTGCCACCGCCGCCACCACCACACACACACCCTCTAAAGGGTGATTCGGCAAGAGCTTTGAAAACCGAAAGCGGGCAATAGGCTGACACCCCAGACATCACTGATGTGTGGGCATTGTGAGGCATACACAGACAGCTGTGCTAGGAAAAAATGGCTTATCATAGGAAACAATTAGAAATCAATCTCCATCAAGTAATGACTGGTTAAATAGAATGTAGAAGAACTGTATGATGGTTTTCCAGGCAGCAATTTAAAAAGAGAGTGTGCCCTGGCCGGTGTGGCTCTGTTGGTTGGAGCATATGTTGGCCCAGACACTGAAAGGTCATGGGTTTGATTCCCAGTCAGGGCAAATATGTAAGTTGTAAGTTCAATCCCCAGTCAGGGCTCATATGGGAGGCAACTGATCAATGTTTCTCTATCACACTAATGTTTCTCTCTCTCTCCCCACCTCTCTTCCTCTCTCTCTCTCAAATCAATAAATATGTTAAAAATTTTTTTAAATAACATAAAAACAGTGAGCAGTGTCCGTACGTGACCACAGAGATGGATCTCCAAGCTGTGTTACTGAGTGAAAAGAGGGTCCTAATGGCCCATTCGGTTTGATCCTTACATGTAACCCTCCCTCCCGCCCTTACACACACTCGTAAAGTGAAATGCTATGGAAACACACAGCAAGCCAGCAAAACAGTCTGGAAGAATATAAACCAGGCTGAATCATTGCCCCTGGGAAAGGGGGAAGGTGAAAGGTTTAAGGAGACGACACCCTGACCTGTAACTGCTTCATTTCAAAAAAATGAGGATGGAGCCGTCTACAACCCGTGTCCCAGCCAGCTTCCCTCTCTAGGGACACTGCGCCCCACACAAGGAGAAAACGTCAACCCCCCATTTGCCGCCTTGGACGAGCTCAAAGAGTTCTATAGCTCGTCGGTGGAGAAATACGCAGCAACGCTGCCAGCGCCCCGGCTGGACCCCTCCGCCGAGAGGCCGGGACCCCGCGAGCCAGCCGTGAGTTACCGCAGAGTGGAATCCCTTAAGCTCAGAGGAGCTGTCCAGTCCCCCGGCTGCGGGTTCCGACCGCGGGCTCCGGCCTCGGCAACGAGGCCAGCAGGCGCGCACTCGGAAGGAAAGTGTTGGAAACGTAGACTTACTCTCAGAAAACCACGTCACCTACTCGAACTTACAAACCTGAAGCCTATTTCAAAGGGTTTTAAAGGCAGGAATTTGCACAAGTTCGGACAAAGGGCCACTGAGACAGCACAGTATCCGTCGTGCCATCGTTCTCCACGAGGACCATGACCCAGACACAACGGGCAGGCGGACCTTGCCTCGGATACGGGGTGCCTTCTCATGTACCCTCACGAGCTGTGGATGGAATTCTCCAGCTCGTTCCCTTGTGTTCTGCACTCGCCAAAGGGAGTTCAGCCCTGGGGGCAGGGGGGGTGGCTGTGGTGAAGACGAATGACATTGCCCATAGCCCTGAGCTGGTGGGGGCACCCCCCTATGCCCCCCAGCTTTGGGCCCCATCCCCCAGGGAGGAAGGAAGCTCCAGGTTTGGAACACGTAGTGTCGAGCTTGGAGTTTCCAGACACCTGCAGGCCACACAGTTTCCCAAACCGGGGCTCACACTGGGTGGTACCAGTAGGACTTCAGGTGACACAGAGAAGACACAGCTTTGTTCGGGCGCCGAACAAGGCTGAATTTCCTAGTGGGCAAGTCGTTTTAAGCCTGGGACAAGGCTCTCCCGATTGCATCTGGCCCGGGAGAAAGCCACAGCTGTGTGCCGGTCTGGCCTTATCACCCCTGACGTTCGCAAACCTCCCTTCCTACCTGGGAGAAAGGTGGCTCGGGCTTCCTCACTCACCAGCCATGGCGGCCACCTTGAACTGTGGTTTCCCATGGACACTTTCCAATTTGTAACTTTCTACAGTTTAAAAGTGACTCTACCAGAGAAGAGAAAAACTAAGAAAACCCTAATAAAGCCCTGGCCAGTGTGGTTCAGTTGGTTGGCATGTCATCCTATGAACCGAAAGGTCATGGGTTCAATTCCCAGTCAGGGCACATCTAGGTAGCTAGTCCCATCCCAGTGGGGGCATATATGAGAGGCAACCAACTGATGTTTCTCGCTCACATCGGTGATTCTCTCCCTCTCTGTAAAATCAATAAGCATGTCCTTGGGTGAGGCTACAAAAAAATCCCTCGTAAAACGTGGAGTTTAGTTCGAGATAACCTTCCAGTACTGGGACACCAGTTGTAACCATGTACCATGACGATGTAAGATGTCAACAGTCAGAGAAATGATTCGCAATCGGGTACAGCATAGACGATTTCCCTGAACACACGTTGTGCCTTTTCTTTAAAGCTTAAACTGTTCTGAAACTGAAAGCTTATTTAAACACTTCAATGGACCTAGGACATAAATAATTCTATGTTGTTATGTTATAGATGTATACGTGGACAGAAATAGAGAAAAGGAACGTGGCAAAACCACTCACAACTGGGAATCTAGGTGAGGGGCATGGGTGTCCTCCGATTATCTCACTTTCCTGCAGGGTAGAAACTAGTCAAAATAAACTTTCAAACTATTTCCCGCCTCTACCCACGGTCCCCTCGTGCCGTGAGCAGGGAAGCTGTCACCATCCGCATGGCAGGCTGTGTATTTGGGGGACAGAGATGAGTGTGGAAGAAATGTATTCCTCTAGTGTGAGGCCCACAGGCTCACAGAGATCTATGTGCCCAGGCGGTCAGCGTAGAGAGGGAGGGGCCTCTGCCTTGGGAATGAAGGGGCTGCCCCAGGGAAGAGCGTGAGAGTGAACAGGAAGGTGGCGGAATCTCCCTGGAATACCTCTGTTCTTAGGCCCTCAGGGCAAGGCCGCTGCCCCAGCCTTTGCCGCCTTCCCAGCCTGGAGCCTCTGTGTCTGGTCCCACCTTATTCGCCCTCAGGTCTCCTGCTTGGGGAGGGGAGGCACCGCCTCACTTGGTGCACTCCATCCTTCTCCCACAGACGGGGGCATCAGAATTCCCCTCCTTTGTCCACCTTGTCAACCTGCGGCACTGAGAGAACATATGGAGGCTGGATTCTTCCTGTAGATAAGCATCGCCAAGCGTCACTCCAGGCTCCTCCCCCGCCCTCACGCAGACCCACAGCCTGTCTGCTGGCCCCCTGGCCCCTGGCTCTGCAGGGACAGACCATCCATTCGTCAGTGGAGCCCGGGGGCAGGGGGAAGGAATTCGTGCAGAAACCTGGGGGCCTTATCAGTTGGGGGATTAGCAAAGGCCTGGTCCTGACCAGAAAGAGAATCCCAGACACCGTCCACACTCCCTTAGGGACCCTCCGGAGTCAAATATTTTCAGGACCAACTCCAGTTAAGTAAACAGCTTGCCACATGTGAGTGCCCACGGGTTTCCCAGAGGAGCTGACGTGGTCCACTTGGTGACAGCCATTTCCTTACGAACATAACGTGGAGAGTGATCTCTGCATTCCCAGAATGACTTCCCCAGCTGAGGAACTCTGGGAGCCTCGCTGAGTTCAGGGCCATGGCCCTGTTGGGCTCTTTGATGACAGCAACCCCAAAACGCATCCTGTACAAGTTGATAAGCGCCCTTTGCGCCCCCCCCCCCACTCCACCTCATGCCTGTCTTTCTTCGCCGAAAATTTGTAGGAAACTCTTCAAAAATGCGCCGCCTAAATTGAAGCCTGATGCTTGGAGCACCAATGGGCGCCCTCTTCAAAGCGATGCCCCACAGCCCCAGGGTTTACACCGTGCTGGGACAAGGACTTAAGTGCACAGTTTATTTGGCTTGGCTGGTTTCATGCCCGTTGGAATCTGCTTTGGGGGGAAAACAAACCCTGCATATGTTTAGATTTATAATTTATACCAAAAGCACAAATACCTCGTAACAGGACTAGAATGAGACGCAGTTATGAGCAGGGACACAGCCCATGGAGGGTTTGCTCTCTCGTACTAGGCGAGATGGCAGATGGCCTTTAGCTAAGCCCCTTCCCTGCCTCTCCCCTCCCCAGAGAAACCTCTGTGCTGGAAGCGCTAGCCCCCCTGCCTGACCCTGTGCAAACGGCCTGGTGTGATGCTCTCCCAGCTGTCTCGGGGGTGGTGGCTCCTCTGTGCACCCGTTCTGAGAAGTTCCCACTCACTGCCTCACTTCATCGCCATGACAACCATTCTAGGCATCACTGTCCCCAAGCTAGAGAGGAGGCAACTGAGGGACAGGAAGGTGAAGTCATTTTTCTGAAGCCCACGGCAAGCCAGAGCCAGGATTTGAACTCGAGGA